GGCCCTGACCTAACACTTTTAAAGAAGTCTCTTTATACAGTTGGCATTCAAAAGCAGTAACTGCTCAGTGCATATCAGAGAGCCGAGACACTGAAGTAGCTCTCAACACATCCCACTTGATTAAAGTGAGAAAATGGCACAAGCTCTGGGTAAAATTAGGTCACTTAGACTTTACAGATGGCCCTTGTTGCAAAGCATATTTTCCCAATTAAGGCTGATTAGAGAGGGATATTCCCAGACAGCATGAATTATTAAAAACTTGAAATGGATTCTGATCATGTGACGTTATAAGGCGGTGACACCCGACATCCCCAGATGGATCCTGCAAAAAAGGAGGAGTTGGGAGACTTCTGATTGGTTTAAAGTGAGAAGTGAGTTTCCTCCCATTGTCTAAAGTAATTACAAAGTGCAGAAAGGATAGGGGGGAGTCGGTGAAATCAGCCCCGACTTTTGTTTCAACTAGTTATCCCTTTAAAGTATTTACATGAGCCATTGAGAAAATTACTAGATACTATTTCTATTGATGTGCTTCACAATAAGAAAGCCTTTTTTTTTTTCTTTTTTTTTTTATAAATCTAGCACAACGACAGGCAATTTTAGTCAACTTAACCTCACTTCTTCATTTGTTTACTGCCGTTTTATTCTGCGGGAAGAGTTTTAATAGTAAACAACACACTTTTGAAGAAACTGAATGGGAGAAGGTGAGCTACCCGTAGCACGCGTCCCAATTGAGAATCGCCAGAAACAATACTTGACTTAAGCCTGAGAGAACAAATAAACACATCTCCTGGAAATAAAAAAGTAGCCAACAATACCTTTTGTTGTCGATTATCCACTGAATCAATTAAAATTAAAAAAACAGCATTTCCTATAATTTACCTGCACATACGTTTTGACTTTTACCTGAATAGACCTCCTTTCCATACCTTGAGGTAGATAACAGACTGAGATTGATTGACATCCCTTTACCTGTCCTGTTAGTTGTGCTTCCCTTACACACAGCAGACACTTTGATTATTAGTATAAAAAGGCACATTTATAAAGGCTCATTTCACAAATGGAAAAAAGGGCCGGTAGGAAAAAGCACAGCTGTGAGCAATCTGAATGACGCTGGCTCACTGTCACGCCTCACTGGGACACTTGAATGCAACAGAGCCATCGTTAATGTTATTGGTAACACCTGCGCCTGTCCTGCTATGACAAGTCAAAATGTGTGTAAATGGCCTTTTGGTGACATCACATGACCAGGAAATCTAGGCCCATCTTTGACTTAAGTAGAGGCGTAATTAGATAATAAGTGAAAACACCTGTGTGCACGGGCTTTTTTTATCTTCACTGTGTCCTATTTGTGCTCATAGTTACTGTGGTGCTAAGTTTAAAAAACTACTTTGAACTGCTTGAATGACAGTTTGAAGCCCTTTTCTTCCAAACGAACAATACATCAGGTGATTTGAGTGGTAAACAAATCCAAGATAAGAGAGCAAACAGTAAATAGAGCTGGGTTTTCCATTAGCTCCAATGCTCCCCATCCCGAAGAGTATGCTCAGTTAGAGGTTATCTCCTTCACTTTACATGCATGTTATGTATTTTGTTTCCTTATTTTTATTCACTGGAAATATTGTCCATCGTGATTTGTGTCAAAGTGATGACAAACGCAATATGTTAGCACAAAAGAAACAAAAGCAGGCAACCCACATTTGTAGTCTAGTAATACTTCCCAAAAATTAAAAAGGTATGTTGATGTTGAATTCCACACACAGCGCCTTTAAAAAGCACGCTGTCACTTCTGAGCACACCCAAACAATATTGCTGCCAGCGTCCACAGGTTCTAAATATGTGAAATTGTCCTTGAACAGTTACTGCTCTTTTGTCTGCCTCTACACTCAGGAGGTTGGTGTGGCACAGGCTGGCTCGGGGCATCCCTTGAGCGGACTGCTTTGGCACGCTGGGAGCCTGTCAGAGCGGCTCAGTGTCAGACTGCACAGCCCTGCTGAGTCAAGCTGACCATGGAGCAGCCAGACCAGCTGCACTGCCTGATGTGGGCCTTCCTGTTCGGTGACTGATGCTGCATTCCTGTTGGGTGCCAGAAGTGTGGCCAGTCTAGCCTGTTTGCGGACTCAACTGATACTGTAGCCTTGACATGGCCAAAAGAAAACCTGCCTGTTGAGTACATATCTCTGTGTGATTTAATGAGCAATGCTTTCTTTTTTATAGTGTAGCCTTAAAGAGCCAGTGACAGCCTCCCAACAACTGTTGTGCAATGAAATATTGGGCTACTAGTAATCTCGAACCGTCAGCTTAAAAAAGAAGATGCGATACCGTTCCTATAAATATCAATAATTTCGAACATCGCGGGGAAATTCCTTCGACTCATTTTGAAGTTTGGGGGGAAGCCGGAAGTGAAGTCAATGCGGGAATGTTTCACTGTGCGGCGAGAGAGCCAAACACGGACAAAGTGTGTTGTCATGCGTAGAAATGGTGATGCGTTTAGGCACGTTAATAACGTTGTAATGAAGTTGACTACAGTATATTCATATTTGTCAGTGTTTTCATGTCAATTCGGCGAACATAAACATAAATGATCGTGGTGAAGATGATGATTAAATTAGGATTACAAATCGGTAGTGAGAGCTACTGAATTTCCTCCCGTGGGATGAGATATAAAAACAAATTGATTATTTTTGTAGTTGTAAACTCAAGTGGATGAAACTACATGTATTAGTGCTTTCATGTCAATTCGGCGAACATATGATACATTAAATGATCGTGAGAATGATGATTACAAATCGTTTGTTTGAGCCGGTCTGCATTTCCTGATGAGAAAACAAACCGATGCTTTTTGTAGTTGTAGTACACCAACATGGATTAAACGTGTGGTTTTTTCACCACAATGTTGGGGAAATTAATGGATAAAATGCACGGATTATTATTATTATTATTCCCACTCCCGATCGGGGACACTAGGTCCACCGTTTCCCCGCAGCGAGGCTCCCCCCGTTGACAGTTTACGTGGGCTGGGTGCAGTGGCGGACTGGCCTTCGGGACGAATCCCGATGGGCCGGTGTTGTGTCAAATGATGCACCCCCGTCGTGAAATGCACGGGAATGCGCATTTGAATGTATAGTCCGTTATTCTATGTTGTCTTTTTGATGGTTGGGTTGTCGAATCCTGGATTTTGCATTCATTCGTCACTTATTTTTTTATGTAATATATTGTGGTGACCTACAGGAACTACAGGCTGGTATGGTTCCGCACGGACACATTAGGTGGTACCTCTTGTGTATATTGTGTCCTCCTCCTTTTCTCTCTCTCTTGTCTTCCCGGGCTGCGACCCAACAACATGTCCTTTTCTGCTCCGAAGTAAAGTACCCTTTTGCACCTTCATTGCACCGCCTCCGACTCCCTTTCTCTCGGCACTACAATGTTTTTATTTAATTGTGTAGTCCTGTCTGTATATTGTTGCTTGTACTTGTGCTTTACAATGTATTGTTTATTTTTACATCAAGTGCTTGAGGGTGGGATTAATATAATTGTTTTTATTTTGGGTGGTGCTTTTTATGAACAGCCTGGTTGCCATGCACCCCTTGCTATCTCTGACAATACACGTGTCACATACATGAAACTTGCTCCATGTATTGGTACTAGTCCACTATACCCTCCAAAGTGCTTGAGGGTGGGATTAATAGAAGCATCTTTTTTGGGGGGGGGAGCTTTTTACGGCAGGCCTGGGGGTGCATTTCACGACGGGGGTGCATAATTTGACACAACACCGGTACCGAAGTGGGCGGGTCGGATAAGTCACGAGCGCATCCCCCACTCCCCCCGTTGACAACTTACTAGCGGTACCGAAGTGGGCCGGTCGAGAGTCCCGGGCTGAGTTTTAGACCCACTGGCTACATGACCGTATTATCGCCCATATTGACGCACCTAATTCCTAAACTTCTAACAGATAAAACATAAACCGATCCTTCAGCCTCATATGGGCTCTCAGACACGTTCACAATTAAACTGTCATCATCGCTGTCTGAGCTTGCTGCTGTGTGCGCCATCGTGCGTTTGCATGCAGATTCTGGGATCCGGACGGTGCAGCTGGAGCTCTTGGCCCGCAATTACGTCACACATAATTTGGCGGGATTTGAAGAATCCCCAAGAAGATCCAGAATATGGTCAACATTGAAGGGGAGATGAATGGTTATCAAAGTACAAATATCCCAAATCAGTTCAGTAACGGTTTCAAGGGGACAATATTTACTAAAATTGATGGGTTTGGATGATGGGTGAAACCCGTGTCACAGCCTCAGGTTAGCTCACCTCTCCTTAAATGATGGGAGTATTTCAGGTGTTGAATTGTTTCCCTGTAAAATAGGATGTCTAATCATCTCAAATGTTTTATTATGTGTTTTTATATGTTAGTTTTTGTTTGTTTGTATAGTTTCTTAATATTTAGGTGTGGAGAGTTGAACATAAGAATCTCATTATGCAGTGCTGCCGGTTATATGACAATGAAATATCTTGCATCTTGAAATGCTGTTCACTGACACATCACTGGTATTCAATATGTGAGCCATTCCAAAGGCGTGTTAAAAAAATTAACCTGGATAAACAATGTGTTGTTTGTCCCAACCACCTGGTCCAGACAGGTGCTATTTCTTTCAAATGTGAACAAAGTAAAATATTTGTCAATTTAACAAGGCCATGTTCATCGACAGGTGTACAATGTCACGACTTATGTTTTCTCAGGTGGATAAACCAATAAATATAACATATTTCCAATTTCGGATTAACACACAGGACTACTTTCTAGAAGCAAAGCAAACTCGTACGTTCCTTTTTGACAAACGTTTCAGGTTAATTGTACATTTAATGAACGCCGAACTAATGAGTGCTGCCTCCTGTTTCAATTCAATTCATAGCACACACCAATTCAGCCCTTGTCAGTTTTCAGAAAGCTTTGTAACATTAAAGGTTAAAAGTTTGAATGGAGTTTGGCGCGTCCTTACCTTGTCTGACAGTTTTCAACCTGACGGCCCCTTTGCAGTTATTTATCACTGTCTGTATGTCGTACAAGGGTAATCCCGATATCGATAGGTTTTCCACCTCCAGCAGCAGTTCTCCTTCACTTAATTTTCCCATTTTGTAAAGCACAACATCCTTGTTAACTTGCCCAATGTAGGCAAACTCCCCGTTCTCCGCGCCGCCGCGCAGTGGCACATTCAAGTCACCGCGGGCATCTTTGGAGACGGAGCACTCGTTCACTCTGGAGGTCCAGTGGTTTTTCTTTAGCACAGGCTTAGACATTTTAATCAGCTTATGAGCCGACACCAACAAACTGGCGGGCTCTTCCACTGGTATAAGAAATAGTCACAGCAGTTGTAGTATTGTAGTAATTCCTCTCAGAAAGTAGACTTGTATCCGAGTGAAGCGCAGCAAACTTTCCTTCTCTTCCACAGAAACATGAAGACAGTAATGTCCCACCGCTCTCCCGGGTGAGAAATCAAGCCATTCCTGTCTTGCTTTGAAGTCACTCCTTAGTGTGATACTGTTTGCATCATTACATTAACATCCCAGCATTAACATATGCCACGGTGCCACTCACGTCTCGTGTCCACTTGGTAAATCCTCTTCGGTTGTTCTTATAAACTCACTTTTAATGTTGTTTCTTTATTTTCTCCGGTTACCAGCGACTGGACTATTTTCTGTCCGTATCCGACCGGGACTTTATCGGGAGGTTGGCACTGTCCTCGGCCCGTTTATCCAGGTACGACGCTCTCGTGCAGTTCTCTGAATCTCATTACAGGCTGGGCTCTGCTGTGGCGCTGGGAATGTGTTGCTGTTCGTGATGCATTCAAGTGCTGTCGGAACATTCACTGTGGCTGCACATGAACAACCCAACAGCAGTGCGGCTATCAGTGGTGTAATGTATTGGACACATTTACTCAAGTATTGTACTTAAGTACGATGTTAGGGTACTTGTTCTTTACTTAGTACTTTTATTTTATGCTATTTCATACTTCTGCTCCACTACATTTTGCAAGCCAATACTGTACTTTTCACTCTACATTAATTTGACAAAATTAGTTGCTAGTTACTTCACAGATTCAGATAAATAACAAATTTAAAATATAAATAAACTACGAAATAAAAAATGCGTTATAGATATAGGTAAAACATCCATGACAATAAACACATTAATGCAAAAAAAAAAAGAATGATCCAGTAATGTGATATATTATTCTGAAATGGGACATTAAGCACAATAAGTAGGCTACTTTTACTTTTGATAGATTAAATATATTTTGATGCCAATACTTTTTTACTTTTACTTATTTTTTTAGGTGGGGTATGTCATTTTGGAGAAACCAGCTCGAGTGCGCTAGAATTTGAAAATACACAGCCGGAACAAATCTGCTACTTCCTTACAGAGCCCCTCCTCCAACACACACGAACGCGCACATGACCAATGAGGGCACGAGATAAGTTTGTGCACAGATGGAAGGCTGACAGGCAGGTAGGCCATCCAATTATTTTAGCCGGGCTGGCTAAAATGATCGGTCGTGCTTTTTACAGTACTACGGCTTCCTATCCTTTTATGGATTTTTTGTCAAAGTATTTTTTGTCTTAAGATATTCATTGCTATCGGGATGTTAAGAGCATTCCATGGAATATTGTATAACAAAAAGTGTATCTCGAGCCGGTTTCTGAAACTTACCTACCCCACCTTTAAGTAAGATTATGAATGAAGGACTTTATCATGTAACACAGCATTTTTACATTGTATTATTTACTTAGGTAAAATATCTGAGTACTTCTTCCTCCACTGGTGGCTTTACATTATGTAGAAATAAGGAAATATTGTTAGTATGTTAAGTATAAACAATGTGGGTTGACATTTTCCATAAGTAGTATAGGCTACTACTTGATTTTCTTTTAATTGGCCTATATATATATATATATATATATATATATATATATATATATATATATATTAATAATGTACTTTAGAAGCCGAATGCAAAGTAGCTTGATGTGAAAGATGTTCAGATGTGTTGAACACTTACAGTGTTAATTGAATATGAATGACCTGCCTCATTCATTTTTAAAACACACATATTTTGACTTTCATGTTTGAGTATCGAAAATCGGATTCTACAAAGTGTTCATGAAGGCAGCTAAATTAAAATTAGCGCATGCGTGCTGCTCATGGTAGAAAGGACTAACTTGGCCGTCCTTTTTCATAAAATAGCTCCTGGCTTCCCTACATTGAATACTGATGTTTTTATGTGTTTAGTTCATTGAGTTCAACTTTAAATTTAAAAGGTAATGTGATGTTTTTGTCAGACTTTCCAATGTATTGTGTGTCTCTGTCTTTTGATTTTTATTAAGGAATGTTCTTTATGTTAGCTGATATTTGAGTGACTAAGACTTGAAATATGGGTTATGATTGAAATGCTAATTAATAATGACATAGTCAGCCGAGGGTTACACCTGTCAACCTGTCTGACAGGATTCCTGCATTTCAGGCTAGACTGGTGGTTCACCATGTTTTGATGTGGGGGCGAAACCACTTCTCTTCTTTTCTCTACTAATCAACTGATGGATGAAAGTGATTATTAGTAAATCAGAAATGGAGGACAGGAAGAAACCAATTTACACATTTGTAAAACATGTTTATAATCCAAGAAAAAAGGAAAGCATGACAATAAGATACAGACAGTGGGCTAAGACAGTAGGGGATGTATACACTGCTTGATGGGATCAGATGAGCAGGCCTCTCACCTAGGGAACAGCAGATGAGCTTTTCCCTAACTAAAAATAACTGAATGTACTCTTAATCTCATGGGAGGAAAAACCATTGGCCTGGATGAGAAGGGAAATAGTAAGTGCACTTTTAACATAGAAACCCACTGCTCACACATGAAATGCATGTTTATTATTATGTTCACTTCATTGCAGTTTCCTCCGATGGGAAAACTCTTGATTAACAATACACGTTTACAGAAGTACTTAAACTGTTGGCCTCCAATTCTAAGTAAGTAGTAGTGTGTAGTGTGTAGTGTGTGTATCAAGTAGTCATGATACAAAACACATACTGTATATCGACAGTATGTGTCAGAACTTTTCTCAATCGACTCAAAGTTAATGACTACATATCAAACCATTACAAAGTATTTCCAATATCAACCTCACTTCAATTAAAAAACATTTAACATAATCAGAATGATGTGTTTGATTGTGTACAAACAAGTCCTTGGTGGTTTAGTGGTTAGGATTTGGCTCTCATCGTCAGCGAACATTTTAGGAAATTCATAATCCAACGTAAGTAGTTTGCTTTAGTGCACATGCTTATTTTAAGGGTTAAAACCAACATTATGCTAGTCTGAACTCCAGTTAGTTGTTTGAGGGTTTATAAGAAGTGAAAACTAGAAGAAGTTTCTGACTTCTCACTGAGATGTGAATGTTTGTTTGTGCATGAGTATGTGCCAGTAACTTCCATCGTGACCTCCAGTATCGAAGCTCCTCTGCCAGCTTCCTGTCACACAATGTCACCCAAATCAGATCGACAGAGCAGACACATTGCCACGGGCCCAACATTTCATATTCCCTGCACCCACCATTCAGTCTGTGTGTTTCAACATTTCTTTTTTTGCCAGTGTTTCCTGCCACTATGATTGTCCCTGTCATGTTCTGTCTGTCTTTCACTCTCTTGCAGACATCAAAAAACGCAAATCCCTGCATGCATCCAAAAAACAGTATGATGCACACAATCTCATGTGCATGTTGTGTATCCATCACATGCTGTCTTTTTACAACCATACATTGTACTTTATGATGTCACTCATGTAATACTATACAGCAATACAAGACCTACATAATAACCTCATCCGCGTAGCACATGTAGTGCATGTCCGTGTTGATCTTGAGTCGATATGTAGAAAAGTAAGATGAGCTCTAATTAAAGCGGTTCTTTTACATTATTACTTGCTGTCATTGAGCTGTTTTGTTATGACAGCATATGTAATGAGGAATGAGAAGGACCTGGACATGAATGAGTAATTCACATAAACTATAATCAGCCACCATTTCTATATACACCTGGTGGAATCACTGACAATTAGTGAAGTTGTGAAGCCACCAGTGACTTTGGGTCTACAACAAGAAAACACCCAATAAATTAGCTTTTGTTATGTCAGGACTGGAGGCAGAGCAGTGTCGAACCAAATACAAGATTCAAACAACTAAATATCTTTCATTGCATGTAAACAGGCAAGGAAAAATAAAAGCAACAAATCTCTGCACGTAAAATATAACAACCGTCTCAATGGGACAATGAACAGAAAACCAGAACTTAAATACATGAAGAACTAATCACAAGGACAAGACACAGCTAAGGAAGTCAAAACACAACAGGTGAACAGAATCAGGTAATCAAACAGGAGGGAAAACACAGAGACAGGAAGTAAAAATCAGACATAACACAGGGGGTGAACTTTTATTAACTTTTAATTATATAAATATTTAAATGTAGTTATCAAGCATTATTCATTATATTTAACACAACAAGAGACTGGCGTACAGAGTTACATAATATTTTTGATGGACTGGATTCTTTGTGATGAAACTTCAACGGAAGTAATGTGTTTTGCAAAGTCATTAATGAAAATGAAAAAAGTCATTAATCAAAGTCACATGGGAGGTTTGGCTTATCTTATAAATTACCAATATTGACTACGCCAGAAATGCTATTTGCGATCCTATATATATATAACAATGTGTAATGAGCTGGCAAAGGACCGGCCTTGCATTTTAAATCTAAACAAAATGGCTTAGCATTGTGAATAAGAAGAATTACATTAACAGTAATCTACTTTTGGATTGACAAAGCATTTTAGCTTTAGTGGCCTGGCTCTAGGAAAGGTGATTTCAGATTGCTAATCAACAAACAGTATCCTGTATCAATTGTAAATAATTTGGGGCTAATAATAAGCAAAGAATTTCTCATTTAGATATGTTTTAAAATCTGCATCAGGTGTGAGGAGCATAGGATGGAGCTTTTTTTTTTAAAGTAAGATGGTGGGAGAAACATTGACAGATAAAAGTAAGTTATGAAGAATAAAGAAGGAAGAAACAGAGGAAAAGGTGATCTGAATTAACCGTGTCTGTCATGAATGTAGAAAAATGTGATGTTGCCTGAAAACCTGACCTTTAAACACATCCATCCTGGCAGGAACCTCTCTCCTTTTTACTACAAGCCAAATCTCAAAGGTTCATTCCGTTTGGAAACTTCCACAACTTTACCTCTTACATTTCACATCTCGAATGTTAATGTTTTGGACATCTTTCCAGCGTTTTGTATATCAAATTACATGCAGGGAATTTCAATAAATGTTTAACCAAACTATTTTTTATTTTAGCAACTCTAATGGTTCAATGTAGCCGCAACACCTAAGGGCATGTCTATTTCAGCTCATGTTTTTATGAATGAGATCAAAGTGTGGTATCACCATCCTCTACAACAAGAGACACACCATGTGCTTTAATGGGTCACACAACCTAACAGTTATTCTATATGTGCGTGTGTAATCCTAAAACCTGCAGGCCACATATTATGTGTGGCGTGAGATTGTATTAATGCCCCATTTTGCACATCTGAAAGGCAGCGTGTGCATTATTCACAAGTCATTAAAGCCATGTAAACTTTTCAGAAGCCTATCAGTGCACCATAGCATGACTCCGAAAGTTATGGAGGACGGAACATGACTTAAGTATAAATAAATAAATGTATGAAGAAATACAGGAATAAATAAATTACGTACATAA